AGGAGGAGGAGAGGAGGAGAAGGAGGAGGAGGAGGTGGTGATGAACTTGACAACCCAGCGTCCAGCCTCTGAGTCACGTCCAAACGCCTGTACCAATGCCATGCTCACCTACAGAGAGAGAGAGAGAGAGAAAGAAGAGGAAGAAGAAGAAGAGGAAGAGGAGAACGCAGAGGAGGAAGAGAAGGTAGAGGAACGAAGAGCAGTAAGAGGAGGCGAAAAGAAGGAGGGAGAGGAAGAGGAGGAGGAAAGAGGAGGAGGAGACGGAAGAGGGTGGCTTCACTAGCTAAACGCTATAACTATGTAATGCGTTGTGCTATGCTATGTCTATTATGTATGTAACACGCTAAGACATGATGTAGGTGTCTACGTTTAGAGTAACGATGTAGTGTGATGTAATGTGATGTAATATAGTGTAAGGTAACAAAACGTAATGTCTCTGTTCTTCGTAAACATGAATCTATTCCGTGCACAATGCTCCACATTGCTCTCACAACCAGGTAACAATTTTCGGAAATAAAATACAACAATATTATTTAATTACTAATAATTAACTAATTAACTAAATACGATGCATCGCTAACATACTGCACACATACAACTGAATAATAGCAAACGATACAACACGGCAATAACGACCGGCGTCGCCGTGGCAACCGGTGACCCACCCGCGAGTAGTTGCTTTCATCAGGCATCAGGTAGACGATGGTCCATCGCCGTAGCAACCACATCGCCGTGCTGCCGACCTGCGGGCTGAGTAGCTGTATCATCGCCGCGGCAACCGCCTGCCGCTCCATCTCGCAGAAGCTGAAGACTGTCGCAATGAGCCTGCAGGAGAGAAAGCTATCAAGCTGATGGTGGGAGAGAGGGGGAGAGGGCAGTGAGGATGAAGAGAGGGAAGGGGGAGAGGGCAGCGAGGATGAAGAGAGGGAGGGGGGAGAGAAAGAGTGAGAGAGAGAAGGGGAGCGGAGGGGAAGGGGCGAGTAGAGAGCATAACGGAGCCTGCAGGAGAGAAAGCTTAATCAAGCTGATTGGTGGGGAGAGCTAAGGGGAAGGGGGAGAGGGGAGAGGGAGAGAGAGCAACGAGCCTGCAGGAGAGAAATCTAAAATCACAAGCTGTATGAGGATGGAGAGAACGGAGAGGGGAGAGGGGGAGAGGGGCGATAGGTGACGAGAGAGCAACGAGCCTGCAGAGAGAAAGCTATCAACGCTGAATGGTGGAAGGGNTCTCTCACTCACTCTCTGCCTCGTCTCCCCTCTCCCCCTCTCTACCCCTTCCTCCTTCTCCCCCTCCTCTCTACTCCTCCCTTCCTCTCCCCTTCCTCCCTCTCCCCCTCCCTCTCTCTCTCACCTGGCTGAGGTAACATATGGAGGTTCTTGCTGCCGACACGTAGAAATCCAACACCAGCTCGACGATGTTCGGATAGTTCCTGTAGATGCTCACCAGGGGGATGGACTCGACGAGCAGCGGCTGAAACATCGCGCGAAACAATAGAACGCGTTACGTACGGCAAAGCTCAGCAGTCGTGCTACTCGTACGGACCAAGGAGCTAAATATAACAAGGAGAGGAAGCGCCGCCATATCTGGCCCAAATCTTTGCCATATTTGGTCATATTGGTCCAGAACAGATTAGTGTTCTATTGTCTCTGGGTTCGGGTCTGCACAGCTTGTTATATTTAGCTCCTTGGTACGGACAACTTCATTTTGCTGTTAGTTACAAGGATATAGAACTTATAGTTCATGTTGAGAGTAAGTAAGTAAAAACTTTATTTAACGACGGTAAAACATGTTAGGTACAGACACAATGAATTGGCGCGGACCTATCTTCTGAATGGTCGTCTCGAAAGATGAATCGTGGAGTAGATTTGACGAGTCAATGATAGCTTCAACATCGGTGTAGCTAAATGTCTGGCTAAATGTCCAGTTAAATGTCCAGTTAATGTCCAGCTAAATGTCTGGCTAAATGTCTAGCTAAATGTCCAGTTAAATGTCCAGTTAATGTCCAGCTAAATGTATGGCTAAATGTCTGGCTAAATGTCCAGTTAATGTCCAGCTAAATGTCTGGCTAAATGTCTGGCTAAATGTCCAGGTAAATGTCTGGCTAAATGTCTGGATAAATGTCCAGTTAAATGTCTGGCTAAATGTCTGGATAAATGTCCAATTAATGTCCAGTTAAATGTCTGGCTAAATGTCCAGTTAAATGTCCAGTTGATGTCCAGTTAATGTCCAGCTAAATGTCTGGCTGAATGTCCAGTTAATGTCCAGCTAAATATCCAGCTAAATGTCCAGTTAAATGTCCAGCTAAATGTCCGGCTAAATGTCTGGCTAAATGTCTGGCTAAATGTCTGGCTAAATGTCTGGCTAAATGTCCAGCTAAATGTCCGGCTAAATGTCTGGCTAAATGTCTGGCTAAATGTCTGGCTAAATGTCTGGCTAAATGTCTGGCTAAATGTCCAGCTAAATGTCCGGCTAAATGTCTGGCTAAATGTCTGGCTAAATGTCTGGCTAAATGTCTGGCTAAATGTCTGGCTAAATGTCCAGCTAAATGTCCGGCTAAATGTCTGGCTAAATGTCTGGCTAAATGTCCGGCTAAAGGTGCAGCTAAATGTCCGGCTAAAGGTCCAGCTAAATGTCAGGCTAAATCCTTGCCAAGCTGAATGACCCTGCTTGTTGCTTGTTCACAGTCAATAAACTACATAGCAGCAAGGCTGTCCTATAGGTGGCGCTACTACATTCTGTAGGTGGCGCTACCTGCAGCATGGGGAACAAGAGAGCGACGTTCTGTAGGTGGCGCTACCTGCAGCATGTGGAACAAGAGAGCGACGTTCTGTAGGTGGCGCTGCGTGCAGCATGGGGAACAGTAGGTGGCGCTCCTGCAGCATGGGGAACAATAGGTGGCGCTACCTGCAGCATGGGGAACAAGAGGGCGATGTTCTGTATGTGGCACGCCTCGGCGATGCCGCAGAACGCCTCGAGCATGTGGACGACCTCGGCCCGCGCCGCGTCCGTGTGACACAGCTTCACAAAATCCTCCCTCGTCGTGAGCACGGCAAACCGCTCCCTCAGCGGCTGTACGATCTACACAGAGCAGAGAAAGAGAGAGAGAGAGAGAGGGAGATTATACTTATAGAGGGCGTTGTACTAAGAATACAGGGCGGTATTATGTACATAGATGGCGCTGTTATGACAATAGAGGCCGGTATTATGTAGGTAGAGGGCGTTGTACTAAGAATACAGGGCGGTATTATGTACATAGATGGCGCTGTTATGACAATAGAGGCCGGTATTATGTAGGTAGAGGGCGTTGTACTAAGAATACAGGGCGGTATTATGTACATAGATGGCGCTGTGATGAGAATACAGCGCGGTATTATGTAGGTAAAGGGCGCTGTGATAAAGATAGAAAACGCTGTGATTTAAAAAAAAACATCGTACCCTACCGTATAATGTTACTACTCACAATAAAGTTTAATAAAGAATCTCTCCCATCCCCACCTTCTCCCAGCCTCCACCCCCGCACCCTGTACCTGTGTAAGGAACTGTTGCTTCGTCTCCGCATCCTTGTTGGCTGTGCCGGCGAGCACCAACCCTACTCCTCCCCCACCCTGCCCCTATACTCGATCTCCATAACCTTCTCACCTCTTCCTCCCTCGCCATTCCTCTCACCACCCCTCCTCCTCCCCCTCCCCCGCCGTACGGAGCGGAACTACGCCGATATGACGTCACGTGTTGACGGGAGAGGTGAGCTGACGGTTAGACGATATATATATGTGGAGAGAGAGAGAAAGATAGACGGTGGAGCAAGAGAGAGCGAGAGAGATTGAGGAGAGAGAGAGAGAGAGAGAGAGAGAGAGAGAGAGAAAGAGAGAGAGAGAGAA